GCCCATCAACAAACGAATGGATAGAGAAGCTGTGGTATATTCACACAATGGAATACTAGACTGCATTGAAAAACAAGGAACTCATGAAATATTATTCACAATGGGTGACCCTGGAGGACATTATGCTGAGTGAAGTATCTCAGTCACAAAAGGACAAATACTGCATAGGGGTTGGGGGGAGACTGAGAAAGATGGGTTCATAATATATATACTGCTTTGAAACAGATGAGGGAGAAAATGGTTTAAAAGGGATATGTGATTAGGTATTTTTGTCATGACAGGTGTCTAGAGACAGGCTACATGGTGGAGTGGACCTGGGGGAGGGTTTGTAAAACAATGAAAGAATTTTTGTTTTACTTTTACAAGAGGATAGTGTACTAGGGGGAAGGGTTGGGAGGGAAAAACGTGCAACAATGAATGAATGGAAATCCAAATTCTCTGTAAATTGTTACTGAAATTAATAATAAATTTTAAAAAATAAAAAAAAGAAAACAAAGATTCTTACCACTGGACTTATAAGCAGTGTCATGATGGATAGAGGAGATTGAAACTGTCAAGAGCTTCATCTTGTTTGAATCCACAATTAACACCCTTGATACCAGCAGTCAGGAAATGAGGAAAGGCACTGCACTGAGAAAAATCTGCAGTGAGGGACCTCTCCAAATTATTGAAGAGCAATGAGGTCATTTTGAGGACTAAGGTGCATCTGATTCAGGCCGTAGTCTCTGATTACTTAGTATGCATCTGAGAGCTGGACAATGAATAAGTATGACAGGAAAAGAATTGATGCCTATGAGCTGTGGTGTTGGAAAAAAGCACTGAACTTCCCATGGGTAGCCAAGAGAACAAACAGATGTGTCCTGGTGAGAAAGCAGCCAGAGGGCTCTTTGGAGTCAAGAATGATGAGGGATCAAATAATATACTACATTGGTAGATCTGCTGCAAAAGACCACTCTACAAAGTGTTAAAGAGCAAAGATAATCAGCACCTGACCCGTGCCATGGTGTTTCCAATGGCTTCATATGCACATAAAAGCTGGATGATGAATAAAAAATATAGAAAAATAATCAATGCCTTCAAATGGTCATGTTGGGAAAGAATATTGAATATTCAATGGACTGTCAAAAGGACAGATCTGTATGGGAACAAATGCAGCCATAATATTCCTCAGGTGCAAGACTTTAGATAATGTGTTTTGGACAGATCCTCAGAGTGTTTTATGCCCAGGAGAAGTAGATCACGTGTGATAAAGTGTCAGCGAGAAAGAGGAAGATCTTTAATGAGAAGGATTAATATCCTCACTGCACCAGTGAGCTCAAACCTAGCTGGCAAAGCATGTAAGGATGGCACAGGCAGGACTGGGCAGTGTTTTGTTCTGTTTTACACCAACAGGGTCTCTTTTCAGCTCCCCAGGGCCACTTCAGTCTTTTCTTTCCCTGAAAGTCCTGCTCTTTTTTTTTTATAGCTTCATCCTTTCACTCATCTCTCACTGTGTTCTTCCTTATTTATACCAACTGTACTGGCCGTTCACCTTAATGTGATTTTCAGACCATCCACTTTGTGCGAAGTGGTTGGATTCTGGAAGGTGGGTTCTTGTTTTGATTGAGGGTTGGATGTGAACTGTCTGGTTGGTTATTGTGTTTGGAATGAACATTCTTGTAAGTGGTACAGCACTGGTCTGTCAATTCACTGTACTGTGGTAACTTGGGGTTTCTGTGATACTGAATATTGTGCCACTGTTGCATCAAATGCCATAATAGTAGTCCCATGGTAGACAATGTTCGGTAGAGCTCCCAGATTAAGACAGGTTTGGAAGCAGAAGTGGCATCTACTTCCTAAACAACATGCCTCTGGAAACTCTATGAAGTTAGAGAAACAACGATTATCGAACAGGGTTCAGGTCTTTTGTTCATTGGGTTGCCTTGAGTCATGCTCAACTTGATGTCACTTAACAACAACAAGGATACTAAAGGTGTAGTACTAAAGGGAGCTCTGGTAGCTTAGTGATAAGAAGTTGTGCTGCAATCCCAAAGGAACATGGTTCAAATCTACCAGCTGCTCCATGGAAGAAATATGGAAAATCTCCTCCTATGTGATTTACTGCCTCTGAAGACTCACTGGAGGGTCAGCTATGAGTCAGTTACAACTTGACAGCAAACAGCAAGGCTAAAGTTTAGATTCTTTTCTCATTATGCACTTATTCATAAGCTATCCATCTCCATTCATAAGTTGTTGTTGTTGTTGTTATGTGCCGTCGAGTCGCTTGTGACTCATAGCGACCCTATGTACAACAACCCTAAACACTGCTCTGTCCTGTGCCAATCGCACTGTCTCTGACGCTCCCATCCTGGTTATACTAGTCACTGAATCAATCCACCTCATAGAGGGCCTTCCTCTCCTGTGCTGTCCCTCCACCCTCCCAAGCATGATGTCCTTCTCCAAGGACCGGTCTCTCCTCACAACATGTCCAAAGTATGTTAGACAGAGCCTCAGAATCCTTGCCTCCAAGGAGCCACCCGGTTTAACCCTCTCCAGGACAAATCTGTTTGTTTTCCTAGCAGTCCATGGTATTCTCAATACTCTTCTCCAGCACCACAGCTCAAAGGCATCAATTCTCCTTCTATCCTCCTTGGTCATTGTCCAACTCTGATGCATAACAAGTGATAACAAAGATCACAGCCTGTATCAGGCGCACCTTAGTCTCCAGAGAGACACCATTACTCTTCAGTGCTTTGGAGAGGTCCCTAACAGCAGACTTTCCCATGGCAATGCACCTTTTAATTCATAAGTTAGCCCTCCTCAAACCTCTTTGTAAGGAGGAATATCATATACATTCTACTACCCATGTTATTTTTGTTGTTGTTTGTTTCTTCTAGTCATAGATCCATTGTCATTAAGACTACTTCAATGTCTCTCAGGCATCTCATGAAGGCCACCTACTATTTCTTCCCTTCCCTGTGCCACGTGTACTTAAAATTTATGGCATATGAACATCACCTTCCTGCGCTTCTCTTTGTAGTGTTTAGCATATTTGAAATTAAGCAATTATATCAGTACTGTTTTTATGACTTTCTTTGCAAAATAGAAGCACCAACATAAGAACCATGTTTGCTAATGTCACCTGGATTTTTTTTAATATAAATTGTACAATTTACCATCTAGGTACTAAATTTGCATTTATGATGCAAATTAATGAATTAGTGTTACCACCCATTCTTCAGTTTGGTTTACAAAACCTGAACTGAGTTTTGTTAATAAGATTATTAAATTTAAGAAGCTTTCTTTGACAAAAAATTAGTGAATAAAATAAAAATTTAATAAAATGTAAATATGAACACAACATTTTAAATACAAGATATTATAAATACAAAAGAAGCTATATAAATCAAGAATCATAAATAAATAGATAGGTTATAAATAAATAAATACACACATATCAGGGCAGTTTTGTGTTACAGCCTTGTGTTCTTATAGCTCACTGTTGCACATACGTTTGCTTAATACTGGTGACAAATTAATTGCTGAATTCAGTTAAATAAATAGTGACTAAAACAGAAATAAGAGTCTTTAGAAATGACCAGAGAATACCTATGAGTGTGATACCATGTCAGTCATTGAAAGTCAAGTCAAGGTGAGAGCAGGTCTTCATCCTTTCTTCTTAATCTTTCTTGCAAGTTTGTTGATGAAAGTAGGAAAGCTTTCCTGATTTCCACTCTGACGACCTCCCAGGCACAGTCACTATATTCCTTCCCTTTCAGATAGCGACGTATTCCATAGAAGTACCTTTTCACAGCCAGTGTAGGGCCATCAGTTGCCAGGTCCGATTCCTCCTTTCCCATTTCCTGCACAAAGCAGGTCTCGAGGTGTTCCAGCTGCAGGTGGAGTCCACTTCGGAGCTGCTCCAGGAGGGTCGTGTTCCAAGCAGCAGAGGCAGCCTGTGTGTGGAAGAGCTGGAAGATCTGCTGGAGGGTCTGGTGGAGGACGCTGCCGGCCTGGTTCTTCTGGAGGTGGCTGCCGTCCGCCATCTCCCGGGGCAAGCTAAAGTTCTGTCTGTCCTTGAGACAGAAGAAAGAGGAGAGTCTCTTCATTTGTCCCAAAAGCTCAATGGTCTCATTACTGGCCAAGATGTGGTTCTGAGACAGATCACAGCCCAGAGATGGAACAGAGCCGTAAGTGGACACTATTATTAGGGCTGCCACGAGAGGGAGTAGGATCGCCATTGGGGGAGCTGAGGATGCTGGCGGTCTGACTGAGTTGGATGCCTGGCTGAACCTCCAGGTTCTCTGAAGACATTCTTTCTATCACAGTTCTTAAATAGTGAACACAAGTAGTTTCACTTTTGAATCCTCTACATTGTAGTCTTACTTCCATTTTTTTGTTTCCATTTGTAATCTTCTATGTAGTCTGAGAAGAAGACATCAAACTAAATTCTTTAATTTTAGAACAGAAGTTTCATTTTCTCAGCAAACTTTTGGTGCTGTAATTCAGTTGAGTATTTATCGATGAAATGAGAAACAACTTTGTCCTAATCAGAGGTACAAGTAACAGTCACACACCCATCACATTTTCATGTATACAAATACTGGTTTTTTGTTGTACCCTTTTAGCACTAATGCTGGGCTCCATTTTCACCTCTTTCTTCATACAGAGAGTCGGGCTATGGTATTTTTGTATTCAGTTAAGTATTCATTATACTTTGCCTGTAGCATAAAGTTCTTTGGAACCAATCACCACTACCATCAAGTGTTTGCTGACATAGGACAGACTGTAACATGATCACAGAGTTTTATTATTATTGTTGTTGTTGTTACTAGGTGCTGTCAAGTGCCACTCTATGAACAAATGATCTGAACCGTGTCCTGTCCTGTGCCATCCTTACAATCACTGACACACTCAAGCCCGTTTTTGCTGTCACTGTGCCAGTCCACCTGGTTGAGGGGTTTCCTCTCCTGTGCCATCCCTCCACCTTCTCAAGCACGATGTCCCCTTCCAAGGAAGAATCTGTTCTAGCAACATGCCCCACGATTTCAACTATAAAGAATGTTTGCAGTTGTATCTCCTCATTTTGATTGACATCCAGTCTGGGCTCTACCTCTACCTCTAATATAATATCTCTTCATGTTCCCCTGTTGTTCATAGGTCCTTCAGAGAGGCCTGTTACTTCAGAAGTGGATGGCCAATCCTCCCTCATCTATCTTAACCTGGGAACTCCACTAAAACCTGCCTACCATGCGTGAGACTTCTGGCATTTTACACATTGGTGACAAAGCTTTCATTATCCCAGCAACTCACAAGTACACCAAACTGACAGAGAAGTGCTGTATTTGTTTACATAGACACAATGTGTTATTAGAGGAAAAAGATGGTTTATCTATAGGGTTTTCAAAGCGGTAAATCTTTAGAGAAGCAGACTGTTCTGTTTTTCCACTGTGGGGAGACTGATGGATTAAAACCACTTGCTTTCCGTCATCAGCCCAACATTGTTTCCATGGCCCCACCGACACTCATTCTTTAGAACCAAGGATTGAGTTTTGTACACTGTTGTTAGTGGGTAAGGAGTAGCGCTACCAACCCAGTGATTCAAATCCACCATCTGCATTGTGGGGGAAAAAGATGGTAATCTCCTCCCATGTGATTTACAGCCTCTGAAACCCCCTGTAAGGTCAGCTATCAATTAGTTCTGGCTCAATGGCAGAGAAAAACAAAAGGCTAATAATTCTCAGGGAATAATCTTTGCCGTTTTTTCCCTCCATAATACACTCATTCACTTAGGTTCATGTGGCCATGCTTCACCTGGGTCACACACAGCTGGGATCAGAATAGGCAGTGCCTTTTCTTCACATCATGTTCAAGATACTTTTGTTTTTAGCCTTATTCTAACACTGCCTCATTAACAAAGCTGTCATCACTTCTAATATTGCCTTCTCGTTTAGAGTCACTACTGTTGTTGTGTGCTGTTGAGTCACCTGTGACTCATAGCGACCCTATGTACAACAGCTGTGACGCCTGTCCTGTCCTGAGCCAGTCTCACTGGTCCAACATACCTACCGTTATTGTCCCAGTGTCCTCAAACTGAGCTCCTCTGGACTTAATTTCTGAGAGATACTCATGATGTTAATGTGACTTTGTTACTTCTCTATTGGAGTCTAAGGGTTTGTTTCCTTGTCAAAAGTTATTAAATCTCTGGAATCTTCATCTGGGTCCCTGAAGTACTCTAAGGCCTGAAAGACTCTAGTTCTCAGTGGTGACCTTCTCCTCTCCAGAACCATGTAACTAAGTGGCAAATGTCTCCACAACCTTCAGACACTGAGAGAATGTTTAGCTTATTTAAAACAGAAGAGGAATTATTCAACTGTAGTCATTTTACCTCTAGAGGGGCCTTTGACAGAGATTTTCCAATGAAATTTATTTTTTTTATTTCTTGGCTACTTATGCCACCAAGCCCAAGGCAAGTATAGCACTGGTCTGTGCATTGCTGTACAGAGGTAACTCGTGGTTGCTGTGATGCTGAAGACTGTGACACTGATGTGCCAAATGTGATAATGGTGACCCATGGTGGACAGTGTTTGGTGGAGCTTCCCGATTGGAAACTCTATGAACAGTGCTCAGGTCTTTCATTCATAGGGTCGCTATGAGTCGTCTACGACTCCATGGCACCTAGCAGCAACAACAACAACAACTTGTGCCATAGGTGTTGATTATTGTAGAACTGATCTCAATCTCTTCTCCCAGCCATGGTCTTCACAATTACTTTCTACACATCAGAAAGCTGGACAATGACTAAGGATGACAGAAGAACTGATGCCTTTGAGTTGTGGTGCTGGAGAAGATTATTGAATGTACTATGGACTGCCACAAGAACAAACAGGTCTGTTCTGGAGAGAGTGAAACCAAGCTGCTCCTTGGAGGCAAAGATTTTAAAGCTCCATCTCACATACTTTGGGCATGTTGCCAGGAAGGACAAATCCTTGGAAAAGGAGGGTCAGCACAGAAGAGGAAGAGCCTGGATGAGATGGATTGACACAGTAGCTGAAATAATGGGAATAGGTGTGTCAGAGACGGTGAGGCTGGCTGGGGAGAGGACAAGCTGCAGAGCTATTGGATGTAAGGTTGCTATGAGTGGCAATCAACGTGATGGCCCATAACAGCAGTCATTTTACCTTGGGTGAAATAATTATTTTGTCAGCTGTAGTTTTTATTATTTGGGTCTTTTACTTAAACTATTGAATACATGCTATGCTCAGATTTTATGAGCTGGATTCATTAAATGACAGTGTCATCTCCTACTAGAAGTTTGTATCACAGAATTTTGTGTCCTTCTGTTGTTTATTTTGTCTGTATGGTTCCTTTGAGCTTCTTTGCTAATCTACTTCTCTCTCATGCAGATTGCTGGAACATGAGGCTCAAGGGATTATGTTAGAGAGAAAAAACTCTTTTTCTTTACTAGTTTGTTGGACTTTTAAAAAAATTTTTAAATGTTTGCAAGTTCTTAAATAAACATAATGGCTTACTGGATACGGTTTGTCTTACTGTTTCTGCATTTCTTTTTCATCTTGTTGTTGATGTTGATGTTGTTGTTAAGTGCCATCGAGTCGTAGGCAACTCATAGCAACCCTGTGAACAAAAGACCTGGACACTTGTATAACTTTCGTCCTTTCTCCAAGTTCATAGGGTTTCCAGAGTCAAGCTATATTTGGAAGTGGATGCCACTCCTGCTTCCAAGCTTGTTTTAATCAGGGAGCTCCACCAGTCACTGTCCACCATGGGTAACCATTCTCACATTTGACTCATCAGTGTCACAGTGTTCACCTTCACAGCAACCACGAGTTACCTCTATACAGCAGGTGGACGTACCAGGGTTACGAGACCTAGAAGAATGTTTCACCAGAAACAATTAAAACCAGGCCTGAGGGCCATGGATTAGAGTCACCCACCTTGAAATTAATAAAAGAAGAAAGGAATTTAAAAGAATACAAACAGGATGTACCTACCGTTGTTCTCTTTAATTTTCAAGGCCTGATTTTGAGAAACAATTTGATTCTCATATCAACTTTCCTGAAAAGCAAAAGTTGATAGTTGTTTGTGGACAAAACGGAAACAATCCTAAGTCTGAATGTTATGAAACTGAAAGAAGAGAAGTCACCTTTTCGCTGCCAGGAGGACAAAAGTGAAAGTGAAGAGAATTCAGTGCAACCAAATCAAGGACTGGTGGTTTTGACAGAGGGCGAGAATAAAGGTGAATATTGAACCAAACAGAGGAAGCAATATGGCCGACGCTTCCAGAGATCAAATGGACCAGTGGACAGCTCTGTTTTTTTCTCATTAGATCCACATGTGATCGGCTCTGAAGAGAGAAGGGACATGTAGTGTGAGCCACCTCACAAGAGGCTGCCGTTCAGAACCTCAGTGTCCAGAACACAGATCCCCTCTGTAGGATACTGGGTATTAGTCACTGACTGAGCACTCTACCTGGTCGACAAACCCAGTCTGCCAATGAAAAGGTTGTTTTGAGAATTGTTGTTATGCATCGTCATGTTAGATCTGACTCATAACTGTCCTCCCAGTGGGTTTTCAGACGTGGTAATTAGGGACCTCTGTGAGTCGGTTCTGACTCAGCAAAGCACAACAACAAAGCCTTAGTGCTGCCAATTTAAAGCCTGGCATCTTGCATCTACTAGAAAGAAAAATGAACAATCTCCTCTGGTGGGATTTCCAGTCTCTGAGAATCTGCCTGAGGGTCAGCTATGAGTCAATGGTGAATTGACAAGGACATAATCAATCTCATGGGTGATTGTCCGCCTTTCTCCTGTGCTGCAGCTAATGGATTTGAACTGCATGCCTTTGGGTTAGCAGTGCAACTCCTCAGCACAAAGCCACAGAATGGTAAAGTTCTTTAAAAAGGAGAATGAGATAATCTTCAGATTGAGAGATTCTGCTGATTTTTCATGATGATATGGAGGCTTTGTTGTTAGGTGCCATCGAGGCACTCCTGAAGACCCCATGAGCAACAGATCTGAATCCTGTCCTATCTTGTGCTATCTCCACAGTGCGTCTCTGACACATCTAAGTCCCTTGGTGCGCTCATTATCAAAGGGTGCTTACCGCTGTTTCTCATTTTTTTAGTGACTTCCTATATGGGTTCAACATCTAAGAGTAATTTTTCTATTGTTCGTATGTTTGCAGAGGCTTGTTTCAGTAGAACAGTAACTACAATTAATTA